TCTGGACATGTCATCGCGATAGATTGATCCGAGATCTGGCACACACTTTATATCAATTCCGGTAACGTCGGGTTACGCAACAGTAGATTCGGCCTTTCTCACCGAAGAAACCATGGGGATACGACGCACGGAGGTTTCAGAGGACTCGAAAAAAGAAAAAGAGAAAAGATAGAATGATGATGATGATTTGCACCCGAGCTCTCGAAACGAAGCACGTGGTGGAGGATGAAAATGTTAAACTTGCGGCTTGTCCCGTACCCTGCCGTCTAGTGTAGTCAGGTCTGTCAGGGCACACCCGAAGCGACAACTTTTGGCCCTGTTGGTCGCGGCTGGTCCATTCGCCACAACGGCGGTGATGAGATTATCTCCAGAAGTCTGGTCTCGCTGGTGCCCGTATCCGCAGTCGTACAGCAAAATTCTGATAGTTCTCACTGCCGGACGTCACTCCATGGCAATGGCACCATCTTCGGGTTCTCCGTATGGGCGCAGATACGATACGATACAAATGATGGAGAGAAAATTTTCTCCGTCACGCAGAGGAGGGGGCAGGTAAGTTGTATTCGTGGCCGTTTTGGTTTATATGATGATGTGGTAACCGTTGAAAGAGTGAAAAAATCCCCCCTTATTCCCGTCGTCGTCGCTGCCTGGAGGCTGGGCGACCGGAGCGGCGCCGCCGTACACGTGACTGGCGAGCAGCTCGGCGGCTCCTCTTTATAAGAAATATAAAGTATCATTGTCTCCATCCGGGGACTCATCCGGAACTCCATTCGCAAAGAGCTAACTGCGGAGTCCTGCAGCTTCAAATCATATTAATAAGTTAAGCTTAGTAGTTTTATTATTATTATTATTATTATTTTTAATTTTAATGTTTACTTCCGCTCATTAAGAGTATAAGACGTGCTATAGCAGCGAAGCTTTTTATTGCATATAGTGATGAGAGCCTTATAGCAATTTTATAACTCTAATATCCAACGTATATAATCTATCAAACCGAAAGCAACTTATAGTTTACAACTACTGAAAATAGAGAGTTACGTATCATCTACAGCGTAAACGCGGCCCAATACCTCTATTAAGCCCTTGTTAAAGGCAATATTTATATTAATAGAAAAATAAAAATTAGAAAACTAAAAGAATAGAAACCCCTATTCCTTTTTCTCTTTTTCGTTATTATTTACTACCTTTAACTATTGCTTAGTCCTATATTCTTTTTAATCTAAGTCCTCCTTAGCTTTTATAGTCAGTTTTTTTTTAACTAAAAATATAAGAAAATTATCAGCTGTACCGCCGTTCTTTAAATATTATTAATAAAAGTCTAGTAGCTCTTTTTTGTATAAGTCTATATGAAAAATTGTAATATTTGAATCTTGACTACAAAAGGCTTTCATGAAATACTAATTACGAAAAAGAAGTTCTTTTATATAATAGCCGGCCTAGGAGGTAGCAGTTTTATAGTATATACTTTCCTATAATGGAAAAAATGGAAAGAAATTTTGCAATTTCCGTAGGAGTATATTAATAAAGTGTTCTTATATTTAAATTGTCCGTAGTATTTTTTAAATTACTATAGCCGGATTTAGCCACTAAAAAGTGGTACAATATATATTTATTTAGTTCCGTCAATTTATTTTAAGGCTTTAATAAAGTCCGCGATAATAGTTGTTATATTGTTTTAATAAGTACTTTACTTACTAGGTTTGGAAATTTATACAAGTTTGCTGCTTTGTTACCTTCGTATATATATATATATATATATATATATAATAATAGTTGCTGCAATGCTCTAACTGGCTTACAATAATAGCATCAGTATAGAGATGCTACAGTAAACTATATACTTGTAGCAGAGCGGAGCGGAAGCGGTAGGAAGTACGATAGCAGTGCTGAAAAAAGCAGCGTAGTAGCAAATACAATAGAAGGATGTTGTAAAAGAGGTCTTAGAGAGAACTCTGCTCTTAAGACAAAAGAGTACAGTGAACTCTGCACTATAAGAGTAGACTGTATTGTATTGCTTTGATTGTGCTTGCTTGCTTGCTTGCTTGAAAAGTGACTAAATAAAGAAGAGAAGAGGCCTTTATATACACAAACGTTAAGTATCTAGAAGCTTCCAGAGTGTAGAAGCTTCTGTAAGTTAATAAGAGTGCTTGTAGGAGTACTATATCATGAAAGAAATGAACTGAATCTATAAGCTTCTAGTACATTCCATAATGACAAAATAGTCTAAAAGGAATGCTGAACAAGTTAAAGAATCCCAGAATACAGTGGAAAAACCTCTGTAGTCTAGTACGCTCTGTGAAGGCTGAGTGGACTGATTCCGTAGAAGGAATAGTTCAATTAGTCTTCTATACTACAAGGTAGTACATGGTAGTTACAAAGCATAGTACTAGCCACACGTTAACAAATAATATTAGGATTTTAAACTTTGCCATCTTCCGTACTAACTTTTGTTAAGCTATTTATAATTTTATTACTTATAGTACTTATATAGTTAAATACCTAATAAATATCTACTAAATTTGCTTTATAAATTTCATTTATAGTTTTAAACTTAAAGAAAGTATTTTATAATAATAGCGAGAGGGTTCATCGTAAACTCTGTATTATAACTATATCATTTAAAGGGTGGCCGAGGCGATGAGCAAA